CATTATGACGAGATGGAAGAGCCAATGGTGTGCGAGCTCTCTGAACTCCCAGCTCCCACTTGTCCGGACTTTGAGACTAGACGTGTGATAGCACTTAAGAAATCGACAAAGTTCAAATGGTTCTTCGACCAATTCGGCCTGTCTGAAGCAACACGCTTTGAAGCCACCAAGGCCTTTTTAAGACTTGCAGAGCAGAATGGTGAAACGTGCATGAGCGTAAGCGGATCAGTAAGGAAAGTATTTCGAGATAACTCCTTGGCAATAACCTTTACCGAGGCCGACAAACAAGTACCATTTCCACATAACCGTCCCCTCTACGTCCCAGTATTCATCAATGGGATGGAGTTTCAAAGAGGATTCATGGATGGAGGAGCTTCACTCAATGTGATGCCTTATTCTACTTTCCAGGCGGCGGGGATCCCACAAAAGCACTTAGTCAGACAACCCATCTCCATCACCGGTTTTGGAAGCCAAAAAATTAAAACCATAGGTCATGTCCAGTTAGACATAGCAGTGGGGCCAATTCGCTCTACTACTAAGTTTCATGTTATAGAAGCAGAGACGACCTATCAGGCTCTCCTAGGAAGAACTTGGCTTCACAGATATGCTGTGATTCCGTCCACCTACCATCAATGTGTCAAAGCAATCTACAACAATGAAGTAGTAGCTGTAGCTGGCTCTCAAAAGCCTTTTCGAGTAGATGAAGCTTACATGGCAGATGCAGTATTTTATAATCATGTCGACGAAGACGAACCTCCCCTGCCACTTTGAGGAACTCCTGTACCTGACTGGGATGACCTCTCTAAAGAAGGTTCATCACCACCTCGTAGAAAGACGTTCGCCAAATCAGAGCCCTCAAGAAAGCTCCCTAAAGTCACCAGGTTTCAAACAAAAGATGGTAGAGTGGTATATCGTTTATGACGGTACGAGGGGTTGGCAAATGTTACCAATGCCGACCCCCAGCTAGACGACGTAGCAATTGTCCACCGTGAACTAAGTGGAGAAGATCACTGTTGCTACACCTTGTCTGCGCTGGCCCAACGCTCGCCAATGGCAAAGAACAAAAAAAGTAGAGACAAGAAGAGCAGAAAGAGAAGAAAAGCTGTGGCTTTTCCAGCAACAGATAAACACTCCGACAAATCCTATTGTCCCGCGGTAACTCATTTGGATGGAGCCGAAGGCTCAAAAGCTAAACTCCTCAAGGCAGCCACTTCATCTCTTAACCAAGTCCCTGCCAAGCAAGATGGATTGCAAGAAGTCCGACCGGCTCCGGAGTGTTTACAAGACGGCCCTAGGCCCAAAAAACAAGAACTGGAAGAAAACAACATAGCCTCTGAAGGAGAACCCAGGCGTCCTATCTTCATTTGCAAAGATCTTCCAGCAGATCAAAGGGGGCCCCTCATCGAGTTGATCAGGAAATATTCGGACGTTTTCGCATGGACATATGAAGAAATGCCAGGATTAGATAAAGATGTTACCATGCACCGGTTGAACATCATCCCCCTGGCTCGACCAGTCAAGCACAGAGTAAGATTTTATAAGCCCGAGGTGGAGCTCAACATCAAGGACGAAGTGGTGAAGCTGCTTGGAGCAGGGTTTATCAAACCCATCCAACATCCCCCCTAGCTTTCTAGTATCGTCGCAGTTATCAAAAAGAATGGTCAAATTCGAGTGTGCGTCGATTTCAGAGATCTAAACAAATCTTGCCCCAAAGATGAGTTCCCACTCCCAAACATAGACACCTTAATTGATTCAGCGGCGGGTCACCATATGTTCTCATTCATGGATGGCTTCAGCGGCTACAACCAGATCAAGATGGCTCCAGAGGATGCCCCAAAGACAGCATTTCGCACTCCTATAGGCAACTTTTTCTATACTGTAATGCCTTTTGGGTTGAAAAATGCGGGAGCAACATACCAGAGAGCTATGACAGCCATTTTTCATGATATGTTGCACAAGTCCTTAGAATGTTACATTGATGATTTGGTGGTAAAATCCAAAGAGGAGACTAGTCACCTCAAAGACCTCCAAAGAGTTTTTGAACGTTGTAAGAAATACAGACTCAGAATGAACCCGCTTAAGTGCGCATTCGGAGTCACTGCCGGCAAGTTCCTTGGCTGTATCGTTCATCGCCATGGGATAGACCCTGACCCAGCAAAGGTCGCCGCCATCAAAAATATGCCACGACCAACCAGTCTAGACGAGTTGAGAACCTTCCTTGGTTGGGCATCCTACTTGAGACGGTTTATCCCAGCTATGGCCGAAATAACACAACCTTTCAATTCATTACTAAATAAGGATGTCAGGTTCATTTGGAATGAGGAACACCAACAAGCATTCGAAGGAGTGAAATCAGCTTTAACATCCCCTCTCTCCATGACTCCTCCTCAGCCGGCGAGGCCCTTACTCCTCTACATCTTTTCCACGCCGAAATCAGTCGGCGCTCTACTCGCTCAGGAAATTGACGGACTTGAACGGCCCGTATACTACATAAGCAGAGTCATCCAAGGGGCTGAGGTCCGATATTCCCCCATTGAACGACACTGCCTCGCCCTAGTGTTCGCAGCCAAAAAGCTCCGCCATTACCTTCTTTCTTATCCCATCCATCTCATGACCAGGAGTGATCCTATCCGCTTTCTCCTCACTAGACCAGCGCTCTCTGGCAGGCCAGCTCGCTGGCTCCTATCATTAGCAGAATACGACATCACTTGCAAAGCTCCCAAGGCCATCAAGAGTCAAGCGCTTACCGACCTCTTAGCTCACTTCCCTAGTGGAGAACATGAACCGCCTTCGGATGAATTGCCAGGTGATGAGTTCCAAGCAGCTGAAGTAAACACCGAAGGAGAATGGAGTTTGAGTTTCGATGGATCGTCCACCTCTAAAGAGGGAGGAGCTGGAATAGTCCTTATTTCCCCAAATCAAACTGAAGTCAATTTGTCATACAAACTGGATTTTAAATGCTCTAATAACGAGGCTGAATACGAAGCCCTGATATTAGGGCTTATGGCAGCACTCCACCTGGGAGTAAGTCTCCTATGCATCAAAGGCGACTCTAATTTGGTGGTCAAGCATACCAATGGAGACTATGCTATCAAAGAGCCCCCTTTAGCCTCATACAGAACCATTGTCCAAAGGTTGACAGACAAATTTGACACGGTAAGGATAGAACACGCCCCTCGCTCCAACAATCGACACCCAGACGCCCTTGCTACCTTGGCTTCTAAAGTAGAATTCGCCGAAGAATCAACTAAGATAGAAGTTCTGAAGCGCTCCATGCCGTGCTCGATAACAACTATTTTTCCTGAAAAAGAACCCGCCGACTAGAGAGCCCCAATCATCGATGAGCTTCGCACCCCCTCAGGTAAACTACCTTTGTGCGAAATCAAACACTTCACGATTTACCAGGGAGTCCTTTATTACAGAGGGCCTGGGGGTCTGCTAGCACGATGCATCGACTTTACCGAAGCCAAGTCTAAGCTAGAAGGGGTTCACAATCGTTCTTGCGGAACAGGAGACGTGAGCCTCTACAGGAGGCTACAACGACAGGGATATTATTGGCCTACTATGGCCAAAGAAGCAAACGACCTTCAGGGAAAGTGCACCAAATGCCAGGAATTCCCTCCAAAAGCTGAATGTAATTTTGCAGAAATCACCTCCGACTGGCGACAGGTGTATATAGACTACCTCAAAGAAGCATCATTGCCGCCAGATCGTTCTGCAGCAGCAATAATCAAGAAGCGAGCTTCGAAATTCTTTTTGCACGAAGGGAAACTTTTCAGGCGTGGCTTTGACGGGAAGCCTTTACGCTGCTTATTGGGAGCAGAAATCCATAAAGTTTTAGAACTTGCTCATGGGTCGGAGCACCAAGGCGAAGCCAAGCTATTCCAACATCTTTTGCATATAGGTTATTATTGGCCCACCATGGAAGCGGACGCCAAAATGTATGCCAAACGCTGCAAACCTTGTCAACTCCATGGTAACCTTATTCACGCACCAACCACTGATCTGCATAGTTTGAGTTCACCATGGCCTTTCCACACATGGGCTATGGATCTTATTGGCCCCATCTCTCCACCGTCAAAGGGACACATATGGATCGTAACAGCCACGGAGACTTACACTAAGTGGGTAGAAACCATCCTCCTGAAGAAGGCAACAGGAGCCGCTGTCTCCAATTTCATTAGAGAATTCATTATGTCGTTTTGGTATTCCTAGAGTAATCCTGTCGGATAATGGGACCCCTTTTGTCAACCGCCAAGTGGGAAAACTCTTAGCCTCCTACGATATCACACACCATAAATCAACGCCTTACTATCCCCAAGGGAATGGACAAGCTGAAGCAACCAACAAAACACTCCTTAGAATCCTTTCAAGGACTCTCAAGGATTATCAAAGGGACTGGGCACATGTGCTTCCAATGGCGCTCTGGGCATACAGAACATCCAAAAGGAGACCAACTCAAATGACCCCATTTTCGTTGGTATATGGCACGGAAGTCGTCCTTCTAGTGGAAATTGCCATACCATCAGCTCGTATGGCCCTCCGAAGCGGAACTAGCCCGTACTCCAGGCCGTCAGAGCTGGAAGTCCTTGATGAAAGAAGGGACAAGGCCCAGACTAATCTTAGAGTTACCAGGGCCGTATAGCTAAAGCTTATGATACTCTAGTACGACCAAGACAATTCCAAGAAGGTGATTTAGTGTTACGGGCTGCACCCCACGTCATGAGGGGAACATCTACTCACAAGTTCACACCCAAATGGCAGGGTCCTTTTGTAGTAAGGGAAGTCAATGAAAATGGCTATTACAGAATTTCTGAGCCTGATTCTCAAACCCTCTTAAGCCCCATCAATGCGAAATGGTTGAAGGCTTACTATCCTTAGAAATTACCCATTACTATATAATACACCAAGATGTATTGTGCCCGTTTGGGCTTCTTCAATGAATATCATCCTTTTTCACACTTATTCTAACTATAATCACAAATAATAAAAGATGACGCTTTAACTCGAAAGTCAACTTCATTAAGTAGTCGAAGATTTTCAATTACAAAAAAAAAGGGAGGCCCAAATCTCCAACATACAAAAAAGTTTTAGGCTATAAAGCTATCATATGCTATAAAGTTATCATATGCTACAAAACTATGATCCAACTAAGTCAAGACTCTGGAAGCTTGATCTGCTTCTTCTTCTCCCGCCAATCTTGCTTCAAGAATCGCTTTCTTTTCTCTCAAGCTAGAAGACGCCAATTCTGCTTCATTCAAAGCTTTCTGTGCTCGTTCAAAAGATAGCTTACATTCCTCCTCCACTCGTACAGCAACAACCAAAGCCTTGTCTACCTCGCCTAGCTCAGCCTCAATCATCCTCCTCCTGACCTTGGATTCAAGAAGGGATAACCAATCATCCAACCAACCCACCTCCAATCTGTTAATCCGGCCATCTCGAAATTCGCCCAAAACAGCACGTTGGGCCAACACCTCATCAAAAGAAGCTGTCTCTGGGGATAGCTTGTAAAGCTCCTTAAGGAATTCTCCAAAACCATCCAAAAAATAAGTCCGGAGATAAGAGCTACCCAAGTGCATGAAAGTGGTCGGTTTATAATGAAGAACAAAGAGCAGTCGAGGAAGTAACTCTGCTTTGACCCCGGCAAACAACACAGCTGGATCTAGTAGCTTTTCCTTCCCATCGATCCCCTTAAGAACCACACTGCCACGGGGAAGATGAATAGGAGAAAAATCTCCATCAGTAGCATGAATGAGTAGCTTTTCCTTCCCATCGATCCCTTTATGAACCACACTGCCACGGGGAAGATGAATAGGAGAACAATCTCCATCAGTAGCATGAATGAGGGAATAATCTCCATCAATAGCTGGCAGTGATGGTCTTTGAAGGCTACCCCCAATATCACTAGCACCTTTCTGAATGAAGCCAAACAACTCGCGTATGAGCACACCACCCAAGTTTGCACCAACTGAAACAATAGGCGAGTTGATTCCAACTTCGGAGCCTGAAGGAATGGTGGGCACATTACTCTCTAGGCCCGCAGAGGTCGTAGAAGCATGTAAAGAAATGGGCGTAGAAGAGCCTATGCCGCATGACAAGCTCACGGATGTACTGGCACCTCCAACTCGTGAGCTAAGCACATCGCTATGTGAAAAATTACAACCACCTTCAAACAAGCGAGCAATAGGGACACCACCTCCAATCTTGTCCCGCAAAGGAACCAATGCATCCCTAGAACTTGATGTATCTAACAAAGAAGGCCTAGCACTAACCATATCACATCCAACATCGTCTTCAACATCATCTCTTGCCCCCATAACCTCAAGACTCTGATCCGAGCCCTCTTCATCATCCTCTGAATTTTCTACATCGTCCTCAGCACCTATGGGCAAGACTTTATGCCATGCCAATTTTATTTGACACGCGCCAGCCGACCCCTGCAAACAACACAAGTATTTTAATACAAACGTATTGGAAACTCCACAAACTCACAAATAATTCCAAAGTACAAGATATGAGTTTACCTGTGACGAATCAATAATGTCAATCGAGCAACCCCTCGCTTGGCGGGCAATCCTGGATTTAGTAGGCGGACCTATACCTCTAATCTGTAGAGGTACTCTCCCAGGCACTAGAACAAGAACGGAGGAAGGGGGTGGCCTTTTACGCTTGGCACTAGATGGTCGGTCAGGAGAAACTATCTGGGATTGTTCCAAAGCAATAGTCACCTTAGATAAACGAGCCAATGGGCTGAGTTCCCCCCTATCTGCAGCTGACAAGCCCCGATCTCCGCGAGCCATACATAACTCAGGGTCATCAAACGGAATAAGCTCAACATGGACAGGATCAAGATCACTACTCAAAAAAGCCCGAAATAATGCAAGATTGCATCTCCAATACTTCCTCCAACTAGGGGTGGTTCCGCCAATTCTACCCTTACTTGCTAGCACAACTCGTCCCCGACGCCTTAATTCTTCTGAAAGAAAAGAGTATACATATAATTGCATACAGTCGGCGGCCGAAGGCGCAGGAGAAGGAAGATGTTGAGGAACCCCTTGGTCCAAACCAAACTGTCGAGCAACCCTCAAAGGATGATAGGCCACCACACCGTATGTGCCATCCAGAAAATAAGGTAAATACCCAGAAACGGTGCTAAGAACCATCGTTGAATCCGCATCCCCCAAATAAGACACACCCGGCTCGAGAACAAGCTCGCAATCATCTAGGCGGTAGGCAACGGTGGAAGATACTCCACAAACTGGCATAACATAAGGACGGGCAACAAACTTGTCCTCAAAATCAAAAATGCTAGCCAAACTCCCTGTACACATCCCTCAGCCCACCTAGCTGAACGCGGCTCACTTTCTTCAATGGAAAACACCTTTGGCATAGGGGCCAAGCTAGGAAATCTCTCATACAAAAACAACTGCAGAAAGGTAGTAGGGAGGAAGCTGGTAACATCGTATCGTCCTTTGGAACGATCAACACCCTCCTGATACATATCTAACCTCCTATACAGCCCCCCCAGAAATAAAGGAGCCAACGGAATCGGACGGCCGGAAGCAAGAATGGCAGCAAGAGGAAAGAGCTCATGGCAAATATCGTCTTGGGGTCTACCCATCAAGACGTACCGCGACAGCCAATATGTAATGAAAGCAGCTAAATGCTCAATACTCCCCCACTTGTCCCCTTCCACCCCTGGACCTATGAATCCGTCCTCCGCATTTCCTTGCACCTGATGGCTAAAATCTCGAAACCAGTAAACGGTGCTAAGAACCATCGCTGAATCCGCATCCCCCAAATAAGACACACCCGGCTCGAGAACAAGCTCGCAATCATCTAGGCGGTAGGCAACGGTAGAAGATACTCCACAAACTGGCATAACATAAGGACGAGCAACAAACTTGTCCTCAAAATCAAAAATGCTGGCCAAACTCCCCTGTACACATCCCTCAGCCCACCTAGCTGAACGCGGCTCACTTTCTTCAATGGAAAACACCTTTGGCATAGGGGCCAAGCTGGGAAATCTCTCATACAAAAACAACTGTAGAAAGGTAGTAGGAAGGAAGCTGGTAACATCGTATCGTCCTTTGGAACGATCAACACCCTCCTGATACATATCTAACCTCCTATACAGTCCCCCCAAAAATAAAGGAGCCAACGGAATCGGACGGCTGGAAGCAAGAATGGCAGCAAGAGGAAAGAGCGCATGGCAAATACCGTCTTGGGGTCTACCCATCAAGACATACCGCGACAACCAATATGTAATAAAAGCAGCTAAATGCTCAATACTCCCCCACTTGTCCCCTTCCATCCCTGGACCTATGAATCCATCCTCCGCATTTCCTTGCACCTGATGGCTAAGATCTCAAAACCAGTACCGAAGCCATCCCCCGAAAGTGTTTTTTGGACGTTTTCGTGATCGAGATGTTACTAACACTTTATTTTGATAACGACTTAATAACTTCCCTGCCGGTGCCACGGCCCTCCTCCAATCTCCCAACAATAGCCATCTGGCTAAGGGACAAACATCCTACGCTAGGGTTCGCCGATCCAAGATGCTCTAGCCCCGTCAAAACAACTACATCCTCTAGAGTAGGGGTCGTCTCGGCCCACTGTGCAATAAAAGTATGAGAACTTGAACTCCAACGTGACAATGCGAACTCCAGCCAAGATGGCTCCCGTCTAATTCGCATGCACTGAGAAATAGCAGTAGCAATCTTAGCTCCAACAAGCACCTCACAATATGAGGGATGACGGAAGATAGCTGCGCTCCAGATATCAAAGTCATCTTTAGGCCCTATATAATCCTCAAAAGCTGGAAAAGAATACGGATAAGTGCCCCTCTCTACATGAAAACGTACGATAGACTCTGGAGGAACAAAAGCTTCAATCCCTTTTTCTGGCTCAACCCCACCAAGAAGGAAATCAGTCGAATCAGTCGGGACACCGCCATTGTCATCAAATAAATCCACCCTCGCCCAAAACAAATCCATGGCACCAAAGAAAGGTGCCCTACACCAATATTCCACTAGAGGGACGTTTGGAGGATCCGTGTCTTTCTTGGCGTTAAAAAGATTCTTCTTGGATTTACCCTCTTTTGACTTGGAAATGCCAGAAGAACCTACTAGTGATTGTTGCGGGCTGCGACTGGACACAACACTTCCCCCTTTTACTTTAGCCATATCACAAAAGCTCGCCTTTCCTGCATCAACACAAGATTCACAAATCAGAAATGTCATTCACTTTTAAGGTGCATTTAAAAAAAAAAGTTCGGCCTCTTCCCCCCGCACCACTTCTCCCTCGCTTCAATTTTCTTTATTTCACCAAAAATTCTTTTGTTTAAAAAAAAAATAAATAAATAATAAAAAAAAATTGAGTTAAACACAAAACTCATATTTTGAAAATAATCCCCTCCCCTCGCATCACAAAACTCATATTTTGCATCACTCCTTTCTCTCGCATAATGAAACTCCCATTTTGAGATAGCCTCTCTCCCTCGCATAACAAAACCCATATGTTGTTTAGCCCCTTCCCCTCGCATAACTTTTCCATCAAAAAAAAAATAAAAAATAAAAAATTCATATTTTGAGATAGGCTCTCTCCCTCGCATAACCAAACCCACATGTTGGTTAGCCCCTTCCCCTCGCATAACTTCTCCATCAAAAAAAAAAAAAAAAAAAAAAAAAAAAAAATTTTTAAAAAACCCCCCCCCTTCAAAGCTAAAAGTCATAAGTTGGCTCTGAAAAGCTGAAACAAACACCCCCAATAATTTTTTTTTTTTTTAAAAAAAAATTAATTTCTTTTTTTTTTTTTTTTCCTCCCTCGCCTCATTTTCTTATACTTCCCGAATTTGTTTCATGGGCTTCATCTTTATAGCTCCCTTTTATTTACAGTCCTCTATTACCTCATCAATTTAAAAAAATAAAAAATAAAAAACAAAAAATAAAATTAAATTAAATTAAATCTCCCCTTCATTATTTCATTTATTTACCTTATTTTTATATTTCTCCAAATTCTTTTAGAGCTTCCCTCGGTTCAGCTTTTCTGTTTACAACCTATAAATCATAAAACAATAAAATTTCATCACTCGCAATACAATACTAAAATTTTGCCAAATAGCTCTCCGATATTTATTCTAACAGTTCTTTTCTTATTCAGCATACACTTCTCCATTTATTCGTTATTAATTACTTTCCAACATTTTCTCTTTTTATTAACATTTTATTATAGACCTCTACAATTCTCCAAAACACAACTTTTTTTTTTTTTGATCTGCCTCATGCTAAATTAAAAAAAAAAAAAAAAACCAAACAATATTTTTATTGCGTGGCTCACCTCTGTTTTTCACAAAACCTCCTATTTTCCACAAAATAACACCATATATATATATATATATATATGAATCTATACATGAGAACATAATTCAAATCAACTATGCACAGACCCATACCTTTACAACCTTAGGAAGCCCCAATCGCGACGAGCGTCTGCCGTTCTTCTTCCTTTCCCTTCCCGCAGCTCTTCTTTTTTTTCCTTCCTGGTTTGTTTCCTGTTTCGTTGCTCCTCTCAGAATCCACCCATAGAAACCCAACTTTACCGAATCAAACAGATCGAAACCCAACCTTGCTGCCGATGGCTCACGCACAGGTCCTTCAATCAAGACCCAAACAAAACCCAGCCCTAGCAACCGCACCAGAATCAGAATTCAACTCCCAACAGCCCAACCGATCGCCCCACAACACCCCTGCGGCTCACCTAACGGCGCCTTCTGTGACTTGCAACACTCTTCTTCCCCCCTTTCTCTCTCTGCCCAACTCGTCTCTCTCCCCCTTTCGCGACTTCAAGGTTCGATTCACCACCCTCAAACAAACAACACAAAAATCTAGCCCCTCACTATTCGATCCCGTAACAACAGTGTGAGAAAAGCCGTGATGCCTTCAGGCGCTGTCAGACCTCACTTTGGCGCTCGTCGACGGCAACCCTTTTCCTCCTTCGTAGCTGTCAACCTTCCTCTCCCCACTGTCAACCCTTAGAAACCCAACTTTACCGAATCAAACAGATCGAAACCCAACCTTGCTGCCGATGGCTCACGCACAGGTCCTTCAATCAAGACCCAAACAGAACCCAGCCCTAGCAACCGCACCAGAATCAAAATTCAACTCCCAACAGCCCAACCGATCGCCCCACAGCACCCTTGCGGCTCACCTAACGGCGCTTTCTGTGACTTGCAACACTCTTCTTCCCTCCTTTCTCTCTCTGCCCAACTCGTCTCTCTCCCCCTTTCGCGACTTCGAGGTTCGATTCACCACCCTCAAACAAACAACACAAAAATCTAGCCCCTCACCATTCGATCCCGTAACAACGGTGTGAGAAAAGCCGTGATGCCTTCAGGCGCTGTCGGACCTCACTTTGGCGCTCGTCGACGGCAACCCTTTTCCTCCTTCGTAGCTGTCAACCTTCCTCTCCCCACTGTATTCTGGATTCTCTAGTCTTTCCCACTAAGTTGAATTCTAGATTTTCAGAAAGAGAATAGAAAAGTCTACCCAAACACAAACTTGCCTAGCCCCTCCCTTAATGGTATAAGAAACCCAGCTACGGGTAACCAAGTCCATAACCCACCCTTCTGTACAATGGGTAAAAGGAACAAACAGAGATCTTGATTCAAAAAAAAATATATATATATATATCTCTATATATATCTGTATATATATAAAGTCCCTGTTTCTCTAAAACGGCAAGCTCACTTTTGGAATGATTCGAACAAGTTCAAGTTATACTTAGAATATACACAATCTTTTATGTGGCAGTAAAGCAACGTTCAAGCAGGACGAGAAGTTCCCAAAAAAAAAAAAAGATTAAATAAATTTATGTACACATTGAGGCTGTACCTTCCCAAGGGAAATTCTTAAACCAATCAAAAAATTCTCTTTGCTTGTTACAAATATTAAAAGCAGACTGCAACAACCTTAGACTCTTCAAAAAAAAAAAAAAAAAAAAACCTTCCAACCGTGTGTTCCATGCATGCCTTGCTGGATGTGCCACTACGTCTTATGGTAATATCTTTCTTCTCTCCCTTTGTTATCTATTTCAACAATTGTTTTCATTGAGGACAATGTCTTAGTCAAATTTTATTATTTTTTTTTAGGGGGGAGGGGGTGAGGGTAGCTTCTTTTGTTTGCATCTACTTGGCTCATAATTCATGTTTGCACTTCTCTTAATTGCACCCACTTCACTTGGTGTTGGCTTTTTGCTAGTAAGGTTGTGATATAAGCATATGTTAATCGGGGATCACAGTGGGTATGTGTGAAAAGGGTTTATTAGGTGAATACTCGTATGCGATGTTTGCACTAGGACAGTTGCTTGTGTTTATGGTGTTAGTAGACTTGTCATGAACATGTCTTGATTCACATGAGCACAATATCATAGTGGTGACCTCTCTATTTTAATCCCTTGTGTACATCATTGATAACTGTCTAGTGTTGTAGAAACCAAATAAATGAATATTAGCCTTGATTCTTTTCAAAAAAAAAAGGGCGAAGGGGAGCAACTTGACTTGTTTGGGTTCGTAGCATTTTTAACTCGAGTTATTAAGCTCGTACTGGTGTCTTTACACCTAGTTCCCTAAAACCATTTGGTTTGGGAGTCATTAGCCCAATACTTGTTACATGGGATAATCAGAAAGGTTAAGGGACCTAAACATTGCACAGTTAAGGAAAAATAAGGAAAATGACTTGTTCGAATCCGTAGCATTTTCAGTTTGAGTTATGAAGCCCGTAAGGGTGTCTTTACACCTAGTGCCCTAAAACCATATGGTTTGGGAGTCATTGGCCCAAGATTCATTACATAGGTTGATTAGAAAACTTAATAGGTCAGGGCATTGCACAAACATTTAAAAAATAAAAAAAATAAAAAAAGGAAATCTTGATTGCAAAAAGTTTAGGGTTTTTCTGTTTGTATTGGGTGTTATTGTGAGTTATTGTGAGTTATTGTGAGTTACATTGGGCTATTATAGTGGAAAGTTAACTAGTTATGGAGATTGCACTTTACACCGAGGGCACTCATGATGTGTTTTACTAGCAGTCACAAATACAAGGAACTTAACTTTTGTAATATAGAATTGTGGTTTTTGCTCAATAGATTCTCTTATGCTTTTCTACTGTGCCTTCAATGACTCATCATGTCGTAATATCGCACTATAGTTGGCACATAAGTTGATTCTTGGGTGGAGTGGTGTGATTAATTGTTGCTGGGCAATGTGAGTATGTTGATGTCTGTGGGTGTCATTTATGGAAATCCTCACGAGACTACATTCTTCCACTTGGGTAACCTTAGGGTTTAAAATACTTGTTGCATATGCTTAATGCAATCACGATCCATATGAAAGTTGCTTAGAGTTATTTAATTTTTCTTATTTCTTTTGTTCTGCTTGAGGACTTGCAAAATGTAAGTTGGAGAGGTGTGATGTAAGCCGAAAGGTACCGTATTAAGGCTACTTAAGCTACAGGTATAGTCCTTGAAGTATGTTTATTTGGCAGAGATAATGTGTTTCGTGTACTTGTACATGTTTGGTGAACAACACGCAATCTCAGGCAAAAAGTAGCACAAAAGCAAATCCTCTACTCAAACAATAGAAATTCGCCACCTGTCAGTCCACCGCACGTGCGACCATCCTCCACCACACGTGCGTCCCACCATTGACTTTCACTAGCGGGATCTCTTTGTTTCTCAATTTCTTGATCTGTCTGTTCACAATCTGTATAGGTTGTTCCTCGTAAGTGTAGTCGTCACTCAGCACTACACGAGTTGGCTCTATCACATGAAAAGGATCCCGGAGGTAGTCCCTCAACATAGAAATGTGGAAGACGTTGTGCATATTCTCCATTTCAGGAGGAAGCGCAACTTGATACGCCACCGGATTAATTTTCTCGATAATCTCATATGGTCCGACGTATCTCGGCGCTAACTTGCCTTTGACTCCAAAACGAGTCTGGCATTTCATTGGTGTCACTTTCACAAACACGTGATCACCCACTTCATACTCTCTGTCTCGTCTTCTGACATCTGCATAGCTTTTCTGCCTGCTCTGTGCAGTTTTCAGTCTCTGTTGTATCAGTTTCACTTTCTCAATCGTTTCATAAACAATCTCGGGCCCAAGCAAAGGCCCATCTTCAACTTCTGCCCAGCAAATCGGAGATCTACATTTTCTGCCATACAATGCCTCGAAGGGCGCCATACCAATACTCGAATGATAGCTGTTGTTGTAGGCGAATTCAGTTAAGGGCAAATGACTTTCCCAGTTTCCCTGAAAATCAAGGACACACATTCTCAGTAAATCCTCTAGAGTCTGGATGGTCCTTTCTGACTGGCCATCTGTCTGAGGATGATAGGCACTACTCAGTCTCAGTTCAGTACCCAATGCAGTCTGTAGGCTTTGCCAAAACCTCGATGTAAACTTCGAATCTCTGTCAGAAACAATGGACACAGGCACTCCATGCAGTCTAACAATTTCATCAATGTAGAGTATAGCCAGTTTGTCCGCATTATAAATTGTTTTAACAGGTAAGAAGTGAGCAGATTTAGTCAGTCTATCAACAATAACCCAAATCGAGTCCATACCTTTACTGGAGCGAGGCAATCCTACAATAAAATCCATGGTGATATGTTCCCATTTCCACTCCGGTATCGGTAAGGGTTGCAATAAGCCTACGGGTCGTTGATGTTCGGCTTTAACTTGTTGGCAATAAAGACATTTTGATACAAAATCGGCAATTTCTTTCTTCATTCCCGGCCACCAGAAATTTAGTTTCAAGTCTTGGTACATTTTCGTATTCCCCGGATGGATAGAAAATTTTGAATTGTGGCATTCGCTCAGAACCCTCCTTTTCAGTTCAATATCATTCGGTACACACAGTTTTTCTTGAAATTTCAGTATATTATTCTCAAATTTGAATCCCGGTCTCGGTTTAGATTCCCTTTCTTCGATGACCTTCTTCAAGAAGTCATCCAGTTGCTGTTTCGCTTTAATCTCTTCAATCAGTGCCGGTTGAGCAGAAATAGCAGCTAAGGTTCCACCTTGTTCTCGCAAGACAATTTCAATTTTAGATTTTTCAAGGTCACAAAGCAACTCTTTCTGTCCGGTAAGCAAACATGCTAAGTTTCCAATCGATTTCCGACTCAATGCATCGGCAACGGGATTGGCTTTTCCCGGATGGTACAATATCTGCAGGTCATAGTCTTTTATTAGTTCTAGCCATCTCCGCTGTCTCATGTTCAGTTCTTTCTGTGTGAAGAAATATTTCAAACTCTTGTGGTCAATATACACTTCACATGTCGCCCCATACAAGTAGTGACGCCAGATTTTCAGTGCAAATACTACTGCAGCAAGTTCCAGATCATGGGTCGGGTAGTTCTTTTCATGCGGTCTCAGTTGTCGAGAAGCATAAGCAATAACTCTTCCATTCTGCATTAAAACACATCCCAAACCCTTATGAGAAGCATCACTAAATACAGTATAACCATCCGTACCTGAAGGTAAGGTCAGAACAGATGCAGTCACTAATCGAGTTTTCAACTCCTGGAAAGCAGACTCCCTTTGGTCAGTCCAGTCAAATGATAGTCCCTTCTGTGTCAGTTGAGTCAATGGTAAGGCAATTTTGGAGAAATCTTTGACAAATCTTCTGTAATACCCAGCTAATCCCAAAAAGCTTCGGATTTCTGTCACATTTGTTGGTCTAGGCCAGCTCACTACAGCTTCGATTTTCTGCGGATCAACAGAAATTCCATCTTTGCTAACAACATGCCCCAAAAACATAACATGATCACGCCAGAATTCATATTTAGACAGTTTAGCATAAAGTTTCTGTTCTCTTAGAGTCTGTAGGGCAAGTCTCAGATGATGTTCATGTTTTTCTATAGTTTTGGAATAAATCAGTATGTCATCAATAAATACAACAATGAAGTCATCAAGGTACGGTTTAAAGATTCTGTTCATGAGGTCCATAAATGCAACAGGTGCATTGGTAACTCCGAAAGGCATAACTAAAAATTCATAGTGTCCATACCTCGTTCGAAAAGCAGTTTTATCAATGTCTTCTGGTTTAACTTTCAACTGATGGTATCCGGATCTGAGATCGATCTTAGAAAATACTTGTGCACCCTGTAACTGATCAAACAAGTCATCAATACGTGGTAATGGGTATTTATTTTTCACGGTTACCTTATTCAGTTCACGGTAATCAATACACAGTCTCAATGAGCCATCTTTCTTCTTTACAAACAGAACAGGAGCGCCCCACGGTGAAGTACTGGGCCTGATGAAATTTTTGTCTAACAGTTCTTGCAGTTGCACTTTCAGTTCTTTCAGTTCAGTTGGAGCCACTCGGTAAGGAGCTTTAGAAACTGGCTGTGTTCCGGGAACCACGTCAACAGTAAATTCAATCTCCCTGTCAATCAAATCTCCTGGAAAATTATCTGGAAAAACATCTGAGAATTCTCTGACTATAGGAATACAGTTCACATTAACATTATCATCAGTAGATACAGTCAGTACAGAACACAGATACCCTTTACACCCCTTTCTAATCAGTTTAACAGCTTTCACAGATGAAATCAAATACGGAGGAGGTACTACTCCAACCCCATTAAACACAAATTCAGGCAGACCAGGTGGACGGAAAACTACTTGTTTCGTTACACAGTCTATGGTGGCATGATATTTCGTTAACTAGTCCATCCCCAATATTACGTCAAAATGATCAATGTTCAGTGTTCAGTGGCAGTAAATCAATAAACAGATGTGCATCTCCAACAATAATTTCACAAGCAGGGTACATATATGCACAGGTCATAGATCCCCCAGCGGGTGATGATACAACTAACAGATAGTTCATAGGTTCTAAGGGTCTATTCAATTTTCGCGAAAAAGCATGCGACACATATGAATGTGTAGACCCCGAATCAATCAGTACGTAAGCATTTTGAGTACAAATAGAG